TTCTACTTTCTGTTTCTATGAATTTGACTACTGTAGGTACCTCATATAAGTGGAATCATGCAGTATTCGTCCTTTGGTGACTGGCTTATTTCACTTAGGATAATGTCATCAAGGTTCATCCACATTGTAGCATGTGTCGGAATTTTTAAGGTGGAATAATATTCCATTGTACACATATACCATATTTTGTGGTATGGACATCTGTTGATGGACACTTGAACTGCTTTCACCTTCTGGCTACCATGAATAATGCTGCTATGAATATGGGTGCAAAATCTCTGAGTGCCTGCTTTCGATTCTTTTGATATATACACAGAAGTGGAATTGCTGGATCATGTGGTAATTCTATATTTAAATTTTTGAGGAACTGCCAAACTGTTTCCCATAGCAGCTACACTATTTTACATTCCTATCAGCAAAGCACAAAGGTTCCAGTTTCTTCACATCCATGCCAACACTTGTTATTTTCCTTTTTTATTATTATTATTATGGCCATCCTAGTGGGTATGAAGTGGTATCTCATTGTGGTTTTGACTTACATTTTCCTAATGATTAGTGACGATGAGCATCTTTTCACGTGCTTATTGTTTATATATCTTCTTTGGAGAAATGTCTATTCAAGTCCTTTACTTTTTTTTAATTGGGTTGTTCTGGCTTTGGTTGTTGTTGAGCTGTAGGAGTCTTTGTATATTCTAGATATTAACCCCTTATCAGATATATGATTTGCAAATATTTTCTGCCATTTTGTGGGTTGTCTTTTCACACTCTTAATAATGTCCTTTGATGCATAAAAGTTTTCACTTTTGATGATGTCCTATTTATGTAGTTTTTCTTTTGTTGCCTATGCTTTTGGTGTCATATCCAAGAAATCACTGCCACATCCAACGTCATGAAGCTTTCCCATATGTTTTCATCTAAGAGTTTTACACTTTTAGCTCTTACATTTACGTCTTTGATCCATTGTGACTTAATTTTTGTATATGGTGTAAGATAAGGGTCTAACTTAATTCTTTTGCATGTGGGTATCCAGCTTTTGTGGCACCATGTGTTGAAAGGACTGTCTTTTCCCCACTGAACGGCCCTGGCACCCTTGTCAAAAGTCATCTGACCGTATATACGAGAGTTTATTTCTGGGCTCTCTATTCTAATCCATCAGTCTGTATGTCTTTCTTTATGCCAGTACCACAATTTTGATTACTGTAGCTTTGTTGAGGGTAGAGTTTTAATCAGAGGTCACAGCAATTTCAAGGAACTAGGCAGGGATCAGCAAACTTTTCTGGTAGTAATGGACCAGAGAGTAAATATTTTGGGCTTCACAGGCCATAGGGTCTCCGCCACAGTTACTCTACCCCACTATTGTAGCACTAAAGTAGCCATAGACAACACATAATCAAATGAGTATGGCTGTGTTTCAATGAAACTGTATCTATAAAAATAGGTGGCAGGACAGATTTGCCCCAAGGGCAGCAGTCTGACACCCCTTGGACAAGAGTTCACAGCTGGGCATTTTCAAAGGCCTAAAGGAAGGCCAGTGTGATAAGAACAAAGAGCGGAGAGGAGGGAGATGAGGCTGGAGAGAGGAGCAGGGGCCAGATCACACAGAGCCTTGAGGACCACAAGGAGGATTTCAGTTATTCTCCCCCACCATTCACTCACCGAACATCCATCAAGGACCTACTATGAGCAGCCGGGACTACAGAGGAGTTAGGCTCAGTCCCCAGCTTCACGGAGCTTGGACGAAGAGGAGAAGCACAGGCTAAGGAGTTTCACTACACATCACGTCTCCTTTCTGAGTCACGGGGTATGCTGCATTCCCTCACCCGACCTGTGGCATCCCTGTGCTGCGCTGTACGTACTGCCTTCGTTCAAGCCTCTGTTAATTCTCTCCAGGACGACTGCAACAGTCAATTCAAACATCTCTCTGCCTCTAGCCTCACCTTCTTCTAAACTAGCCTCCATACTGCAGCAAGAGACGTCTCTAAAATGCAATTCTGATTGCACTCCCCGGCTTCTAACTATGTTGATGGCTTTCATCACTGTCAGGGTTAAGTCCAAGCTCTTAGGATGATATGTAAGGCCCTGTGTGGTCAGGCCCTTGACCACTCCTCAGCATCATCTGCTCTCTCTCCCCATGCCAGGAAGTGCTAGCTGACAGCCTAGGACGTCTATTCACACACACACACACATACACACACACACACACGTAAGAACATGATTAAACCCTGGGGTGACATCTGCATCAAAGAAGAGCATTTGGTATCTGTGTGAATTCTCGTTGTTGGTGTTTCTATTATGAGGTATAATTATGAATTGAGCAAGTCTTAGTAATAATAAGAGCAACACATATAGAGATAGTCTGTGCCTGGCACTGTTAAGTCATTTAATCCTCACAACTACCTCATGAAGAAGGTAGTATCATTGTCCCCATTTTACAGATTAGGAAACTGAGGCACAGAAGGGTTAACTTCCCCAGGATCACACAGCTTGCATGTGTGATGGCATCAATATTCAAACCCAGGAATTCTGGCTCTATACTCTACGTTATTAAGCACCCTAAGCCCCTTCAGTAAACCATAAATATGTTATTTTCAACTAACACCTGATGATTATCATGAATGGCCAGGATGGGGAACTCCTATAAATATGTTATTTTAAAATATTGACTGAAGCTGTGCCTGTAGTCAAAAGTGTGGTTTCTGGATGGGAGCATCAAGATCGCCTGGGAGCTTATCAGAAATGCACATTCTCAGGCCCGGGGCCCTGACCTCGGAATCAGAATCTCCGGAGTTGTGGCCCAGGAATCTGAGTTTTCACAAGCTCTGCAGGTGATTTTTAAGCACGATAAAGTTTGAGAAGCACTGCTCTAAAAGACTTATTCCTGAGGAGTAAAGGCCTTAATGGAGGCAAAGCTTAAGACAAACACGTGAATAATTTTGACAGAAGTAGAAAAAGGATTCTTTTTGATGCACAAAGGTTTCAAATTATGACATGAAAAGAAAACAAACCCTAGTACAGAAGAATGTAGGTTGTCACAGGTCATGAGAGGATGAAGAAAAGTACGGGATAAGCCTGAACTTGGAGCAAACAGGCCTGAGTTTCAATCCGGCACACCCACTAACCAGCTGTGTGCCTTCAGCAAATGGCTTAACCAGAGCCTCAGTTTCTTCACTAACAGGTTAAAATAATAATCCTCTTCCCCATACCCCATGATGCTTGTGAAAAATCAAGTGGGATAATGTATGTGACAATGCTTTGCATGGAAGGATAGCGTGGTGATCAAGTTTCATTTTCTGCTGTAACTCTTTACAAAAGGATATATGCACTTTCCCTTCTACTCAGGAAACAGGATTATGAGTCTTGCAGTGATTTAAGAGAACTCTACTTTCTATAGTGTAGGTTGCAGGAGATATGCAGCTGGAATGAGGGGTTGCTCTGGGCTTGAAAAGAGAGGGAAGGGGCCTCACCTGAGAGAATGGGGCCAGTGCGTTGGCAGATGGAAGTAGGAACACAATTATATGTCTCTGAACTCATCTGTGGCTTTACTTTTTCTCCCACCCAAAACAGTTTAATTAAAACCTGAGATAGCTTAGGCTGATGTTCAGCCCTGTACACTCTTACCACCTACCGGCAGTTTGCTGTTTGTGGGCTGTTTATAGTAGCTTCTGTTCTGACTGGTCAATGTTTGTGCCACACAGGTTGTTAAATTTTTAAATAACACCTCTGGTTATACGGCATAATTGAAAGGAATGTTATTTGAAGCTTATTTCAAACAGAAGCAATTCCCCTCTGTCTGGGATGGTTTAATGGGTTCATGTGGGGTCTCACCAGGCCTGTTTATGCCTCTGACCTTTGATCCCATTGTGGGGCCCTTGACTTAATGACAAATAGTTTCAGCGTGTTCATTAAAACAACGCAACCTATAATTCACCTATTCTGTCTCCAGCACGTTTCTCCAGCTGAGGAAGACATAAGCTACTACTCTAGGAGAACTCCCATGTATGTGTGGAAATAATTTCTAGCCTGGGGGTTTCTTTCATTCATTTTGCAAAGCCGTGACTTCCCTCACCACCACTATCCTTTCTTTCTTTTTTCTCCCATTGCTATTTTCTCCCCTCAACACTTCTTATCTGTTTGTTTTTTTCCTCTTGGCTTGTCTCTTTTGGACTAAAAGCGACTTGCAGGTAAACATGTATCATTTAGGACAGGGAGCTACTCAGTGTAAAGAGGAACACTCTCAGGCCTCTCACAAGAAGATAAACCGCATTAATTACATTCCTTACTTGAAGTGACTTTAAATCAGGTAATAGATTCATATGCCTTATAATCTTCACCTCCAAACGGCAGGAGGAAGATACCAGTTATTTTTCTAACATGCATAATTTTTAATTGAAGCTGAAATGTTCAAAATGACCACCAGCTACACCAGTGGAGACACGATATGAACACTTAATCCCCCAAATTACAAAAAGACTTCTGGCTCTGCTCAAAGTGGCCCATGCAATCTAAGGAGCAGCCTGACATCCTCTCTCACAGGGGTAACTTGGCTCCCCACACCTGGGGACTCTTTCACAGAAACTCCACAACTCAGAGATGGTCCATCAGAGCAGGTACGACCAGGGCCGGGACGGGGTCTGCTGCTCTTCTGGGGCACTCTACACAAATCACGTGCTCGGCCAAATGCCTTCATTCCGCCGGCATCTCCCAAACCCTTCCCCCAAAAGCAGAAAACCTAGAGGGTTTAAGCCCTGTTACTCAAGGCTGGGTCACGGACCAGCAGCACTGAAGTCACCTGAGAGCTTGTCAGAAATGCAGAATCTCAGGCCCGCCCCAGACCCACTGAGTTCTGCTGCTTTATAACAAGATCTCCAGGAGATTCATACTCACAGTAAAGCATGAGAAGGACTGGTTCAGGTGACACTCTTGTTAAAGTACATACCAAAAAAGAATCCAGACTCTCTATTCAGCATGAACATGTGAAAAAAGAAACACAGACAACTCACCTCACTTAGGATGTGTGGTGTTGGAAGGAGAGGAGCCCAGACCTCAGTGGAGCAGCAGCGGTGATACTGAGAAGATTGCTACCCTCGTAGTTTTCCTGTAGAGACTTCAACCAAGATCCATGTCCCTTCAAGTCCAGGAGCTTCCCTTTGCCAGCTCTCAGGGAGCAAGAGAAAGAATCAGAGGCGAAACTCATCAGCCCCAGACTAGGTCCTGCAACTACTGGAAAACCTGAGGCTTTTCAAATAAACTAGCTTTGAGGAAATGTCCCTGGTGAAACGAACAGTTCTCACATCTCCCTGAGTTCACTTTTTCTCCACCATTAGCTGGTTATTACCCACTTTTCCTTCTCGATCACTGGGATTCAAACTGACCCCCTAATGCCTCCAATCAGCCTGGATCTTTGTCTGGCGTTCCCGGGAAGGGGGTGGGAAAAGGAGGAAACCCACGAGTCGGAGAGAGATTTTTATATCTTTCTGTTTGTGCAACAGAATCCTGATGGCAGCATCTCCGACGCTAACAACAACTTATTAGGGAGGATCAAAACCAATTTTAGCAAATAGTTTGGCTCTGTGTAAACTTCCTGTCTTGCTAGCTCTGGCGTAACCGTAACCGGGGGTTTCCTTTCACAGGCTCTGCCTTCTAGCAAAAAACACAGGAACATAACATAGATTTGGAAAGGAAGTGAAAGAAACCAATGCAAAGACAGCGTTAGGCTTCACTGCAAAGGTCCCCCAGGGATTTGACGAGGAGAGAGAAGCTGCATATGGAACACGCCTTCCTTCTAATGTTCTCCTTTTCTAAACCAGAAATATAATAGGAAGTCTTGACTTCCTATTAATATAATATAATCATAACAATTATATTATAATTCCCATTATAATAGAAAGTCAAGACTTCCTATTACATTGAAATCAAAGTTTAAAAAAGCTTGATGTCATTAAGAAATTCCATCTATTTTTATAACTTTTTTATTGTGGTAAAATATATATAATAAAATTGGCCACTTTAGCCCCTTGAAGTGTTTGATTCAGTTTCAGTAATTACATTCACAATGTTGTGTAACCATCACAACTATCTATTTCCAAAACTTTTTCATCAGCCCAAACAGAAACTCTGTTATCATTAAGAAATAGGTCCTCCAGGATTTTTTTAAACATGAGGATCATTTTTTAATTTGGGAGACCCCTCTTCCTTCATGGTAGTAGTTGCACTTTAAGTACCCCTGAAGAGAACACATATAATGGCAAGAATAACATAGATAACTCTTTTAATTATCCTTAAAATTATACTTGCCAAGTTAGTTTTATTTCGTTTAGAACAAACCATGGAATAAAATTTCTGCCATCTCTATGGATATATCAGTGCTTCTTTTAAATGTGCCATTGATTAGGAAGTGTGTAATTGTCCACTGGTCTGGTGTTCTACCCCCAGGCCTTGCTTGTATACAGACAATTGCATACTGGTATAATGCACACATGCCTTGTTCTGTTAAATACCAGGCAGGATACAAGTGCCTTGGCTTTGCCCGTGCTCACGTCACAGCAAAGCAGTCAACTGTGCACTAACTAGGAAAATTATCACGCAGGATCACAGTAACATCTCATAAACAATTTTTCACACTTATTCCTGTTTAAGGTAAAGAATGAGAGGAGATTTGAATCTTCACTGTTAGTTTGTCTCCTTCTCCCTTCAAAAGGAAATAACTAGCCTCATGAATTTAAAAGGTAAAACACGTTTAAAAGAAGTTCAGATATATCCACAGAGATGGCAGAAATCTTATTCCAAGGTTTGTTTTAAACCTTTTTACTACTGGAATAAAGAAGAATCTCACACATATTTCAAATGTGCCAAGATTTGTTGTGTTGTGTGATTAAAAAGCAAATTTATTTAAATGTTAAAAGTAAATAACCATGATTCTAAGGATCAGCTAGACACTACTGGGGAGAAAAGGAATGTTAGACAGGGTTCCTGTCCTCCAGGGGCTGACATCATGGTTGGGTAGACAAGACTTATACAGACGACCTAACAACAGTGCTGGCGGAGCGCCATACTGTTCAGGCTGTAGAGCCCAGCACAGAAGCAGCAGATTGTGGACGTTGGATCCTCACTTCCTACTGATGTAGACCTATGGCCAACTTGGCTAAAGTGACAGAGTGAACTCTTAGCAAAGCTCAGAGTAACTGGGCTCAAGCTCTCATGACTCCCACTTATTGCACAATAGTAAACATCACATAAGTCCTTGCTTAAGAAATAACAGAAGCCTCTTTTCCATTGAGGCAAATCTAAGTGATTCCAATTTAGGAAATCCATATTGCTTTTCTGACAGAAAGTAACATAAGCTTTAATTTCTAAATTTCCTCCCATGTTTCATGTTAACATGTTATTTTATGTTATTAAATATAATATTAAGACAATAGTAAGTCAATACAGAAAGGAAAAAAAGAAAAGAAAAAAGGAAGGTGGGAAGGAAGAAAGAAAAGAAATTAATTACAACCTACTAAATGTTTACCAGTAAGAATATGGTTAAATAAAATGTAGCACATGCATACAATAGAATATTACACAACAGTTAAAAAGAATGAGCTAGAAATATATGTACCATCGGGCCGGCCCTGTGGCTTGGTGGTTAAGTGCGCGCGCTGCGATGCTGGCGGCCCGGGTTTGGATCC